GTGTTATTTTCAGTTAAAATTTTGGGTCAATTTCAGTTCAGTTAATTTATGTCAGTTCAGTTTCGTACTTAGCCGGTTTCAGTTATACCGAATAAGTCCGAATATCATGTCAGGTTCAGTAGAGCATCTTAACATAATTAACCAGTTAAATTATCAGTCTGAGCATAGTCAATACTAATTGTTTATGTTATTTTCAGTTTGATCAGGCATCAGCACTACCGTTCAGTTTCAGCAGTTCAGGTGGGGACTCAGACTAAGTACTACATTGTTTATAATTACGCTACCATGTTCGAGGTATGTATATTCAGTATCCGCTCGGAATGGTCGCCGGTCCATTCTGGGTTCTAGTGGCCTAATCTAACCACTAGAGTGTGCACATGGTCCGGTATTAGTTTGTGCCGGGGGATTGCGGTATTAGTTTGTGCCGAAAGATTTCAGTTATCAGTTACGTGACTTATGTCGCGAGATCAGACCGGTATCAGATATTAGTTTCAGTTTCCGTTTCAGTTCAGTTATATATGCTTAGTTCATGATATTGTTATTATTTACGATGTTTACATTAGTATGAGTTTCTGCGGAGCACAAGTGTTTTAGTGCTCACGCCCCCACACATTTCATGTTTTTCAGGTCGCAGGGTCGGAGACGAGGAGTGAGCGGGCGGGCTGTTCAGGATATTTGTGATTATTATATATATGTTTTGCCACGCAGTTATTTCCGCTAAAACTTTCAGTACTTATTATCAGTTTTTGTTTCGACATTAGTCGGATAAGATGTTATAACCGTTTTTATTTATCAGAATAAAATTTTAACGGTTTTAAGAGAAAAATCAAGTTTTTCACGGTAGCATCCCGAATCAGTTTTCGCAAAATAAGTATTTTATTTATTTATTTAGAAAATTGCGAAAAATCGCGTACTCTGATATATTAAAAAGTCGGGGTGTTACAATTGGTATCAGAGCACGTTTCTGCGTCTCTGAAAAGTTTTTCAGTCAGTAATTTTCAGAAAAACCTGAACCGTCACGCTCACGCCTCGCCGACTCCAGGTATGTGCTGATTCAGTTTTTCAGTTATAAACATATTACTTTGTCTATGCTCAGAAATTAGTAATCAAACTTAGTTAAGATGCTCGATTCAGGTTCAGACTTTAGAGTTTTGATATAACTCTAGAATTCAGTATATTCAGACCTGACTTTAGAGATCAGTACACTCAGACATGACTCTAGAATTTAGTATCTTTCGATATGACTCTAGAGTTCCTCAGGTTTCACGTCAGTATTTATCGCCCATTTTTGGCAACTCATCAAGAGATCTGTGTGCTTTAGAAATCAGTCAGAATATTTCCACGTGTTCAATAATTTTGAACTTTCTCAATGTTCAGATGCCGCCACGTAGGGAACCCGATCATCCGGCTCCTACTCAGGCTACAGTGGTCGCCCAGTTCCGCGACTATCATGCCGAAAAGTTCTCAGGGCAGGGAGATCCTCGCATAGTAGACGAGTGGATTCAGGGCCTGGAATTTATCTTCGAGGTCATGGAGTGCCCTGAGAGATATCGCGTTGTTTGCGCTTAGCTTCAGCTTACCGGTGATGCCAGGCTCTGGTGGAACGCTTACTGGAGCATGCGTCCCGGCGAGAAAGAGGGATGTACGTGGGAGATGTTAAAGGAGTTAATCCGCGAAAAGTACTACCCCACATACTACCGAGCAGAGATGGAGCATCTGTTTCTATCGCTCCAGCAGGGTACTTGTACTGTTGACGAGTATGAGAGGGAATTCACGAGACTTGCAGCTTTCGTTCCTGATTTGGTCCGCACGGAGGCCCAGAGAGCACAGCGTTTCATTGACGGGCTTTACCCAGCAGTCCGTCATAACATCGTAGGCCACGGGACACAGACGTACGCACGTGCAGTTTCCATTGCCCAGGAGGTGGACGCCAGCATCAGGAGGGAGGCCGTCCGTGATCAGTTCCAGCCATCCGCCCCTGTTCAGTCATCTTCAGTTCCACCGATGCCAGCTCTACCATCTGCTCAGTCACCGAAGAATAACAAGAGGAAGGGGAAAGGTGCCCCGGCAGATAAGAGGACCCGACGGAGGCTACAACAGATCCCACAGTGCCCGACATGTGGACGACTTCACCGAGGCGAGTGTCGCTTTGGTCAGGATGTATGCTACTACTGTCACGAGCCCGGACACTTCGCGAACCGTTGTCCGAAGAAGGCGCAGCAGCCTTAACAGCCTCAGCAGCCACCGCAGCAGCAGCAGCCCCGTCAGCAGGCACAGAGGCAGCCTCATCAGCAGCAGCAGCAGAGGGGCAGACAGCAGGCCCGAGTTTACGCCGTCGATCAGGCAGAGGCCGAGCAGCAGCCAGGTACCATGTCAGGGATGGTTATTCTTAATAATGTTCCTGTGTTTGCTTTATTCGATACTGGAGCGAGACATTCTTTCATTTCACGACGATGCCTTGATGCCATCGGAGTTCGCGCTACTACCGCTATCGATCCTCTTGAGGTGAGTTTGGCCTCAGGACGAAAGATAGTGACCTCAGCTAAAGCTTCAGATCTTAGCCTTTCCATCGGTGGCCGAGTATTGTCTACCGACGCGTTTGTTCTCGAGATGAGAGATTTCGACCTTATTCTCGGAATGGATTGGCTATCCTTTTATCAAGCTGATATCAGATGTCATGACCAGGAGATTACTCTGTATCTTCCGGGAAACGAGTCGATCACTTTCTTCGGCTCCAGGAATCGTTCATTGCCTCATGTTGTTTCAATGGCAAAAGCCACTAAGTTGCTGCGACGAGGCAACTGCCAGGGTTATCTGGTGAGCCTTGTCGACGATTCTCAGAAAGCACGTTCACCTCACGATGTTCCAGTCGTTCGAGAGTTTGTGGACGTATTTCCAGACGAGCTTCCAGGAGGACCGCCTAACCGGCAGGTGGAGTTCTCTATCGATCTCATTCCAGGAGCCGGTCTAGTATCCAAAGCCCCGTACCGTATGGCGCCAAAGGAGTTGCAGGAGCTTAAGACTCTGATTCAGGAGCTGTTACGACTCGGTTTCATCCGACCGAGCGTGTCACCTTGGGGAGCACCCGTTCTCTTTGTTAAGAAGAAGGACGGATCCATGCGCATGTGTATCGACTACCGGGATCTTAACCGGTTGACGATCAAGAATAAGTATCCGCTTCCCAGGATTGATGACTTATTTGATCAGTTGAGGGGAGCCTGTGTGTTCTCAAAGATTGATTTACGATCAGGCTACCACCAGCTAAAGATTAAGGAGTCAGATATCGCTAAGACCGCTTTCAGGACTCGTTACGGCCATTACGAGTTCGTCGTCATGCCATTCGGTCTCAGCAATGCGCCAGCAGTTTTCATGGACCTCATGAATCGTATTTTCCATCCCTACCTCGATCAGTTCGTTATTGTCTTTATTGACGATATTCTTATCTACTCGAAGAGCCAGAAGGAGCACGAGGAGCATCTGAGGGTGGTTCTCGAAACCCTCAGACGAGAAAAGTTGTTTGCGAAATTCTCCAAATGCGAGTTCTGGCTCCAGCGAGTATCCTTTCTGGGTCATGTGATTACTCAGGCAGGTATCGAGGTGGATCCTTCCAAGGTCTCAGCTGTTCAGAACTGGTCGACACCGAGGAGTCCGTCCGAGGTTCGCAGTTTTCTCGGTCTAGCTGGTTACTATCGCAGGTTCATCGAGGGATTTTTCAAGATCGCCCTCCCTCTATCCCAGCTGACGAGGAAGTCTGTGAGGTTCGAGTGGACTGACCGATGTGAGTCGAGCTTTGAGAAGCTCAAGAGGAGATTAACTTTAGCACCGGTGTTGACTATTCCCGATCCTTCTCGGAGTTTTACTATCTTCAGCGATGCTTCGAGACAGGGCTTGGGATGTGTCCTTATGCAGGATGGCCAGGTCGTCGCGTATGCTTCACGTCAGCTTAAGCCGCATGAGCAGAACTATCCGACGCACGACTTGGAGTTAGCCGCAGTCGTTCATGCTCTCAAGATTTTGCGACACTATCTTTACGGCAGTCATTGTGAGATTTTCACAGATCGTAAGAGCTTGCAGTATATCTTTACTCAGAAGGAGCTCAATATGAGACAGCACCGTTGGTTAGAGCTCGTCAAGGATTACGACTGCTCGATTCAGTATCATCCAGGGAAGGCGAACGTTGTTGCTGACGCCCTTAGCCGAAAGGTGAGGGGTGACTTGACGTACGTCATTACTCAGCAGAGTCCATTGATTCAGGAGTTTGCCCGGATGCAGCTTCAGGCGATCGATGCACTTCCCATGGCCGTTTCGGGGATTACCAGTGCCAGTGTCAGTGCTAGACAGCTTCAGCCGACGCTGAGAGAGAGAATCCGGCGAGAGCAGGCTTCTGACGAGTTCATTCGTGTTATGGAGGCCAAGGTTCGCACCGGAGGCGTCGAGGGTTTTTAGCTAGGTGCCGATGGTGCCCTAGAGTTCAGAGGCAGGATCGTGGTCCCGAAAGTCGAGGCGTAGCGGAAAGAGATTTTATCAGAGGCTCACACCGCACCCTATTTAGCCCATCCTGGGAGCACAAAGATGTATCATGACCTGAAAGGGTCGTTCTGGTGGCGAGGTATGAAGAAGGATGTCGCCGAGTTCGTCGGGAGGTGTTTTACCTGTCAGCAAGTCAAGGCCGAACATCAGAGTCCGATTGGCCTCCTGCAGCCACTGCCGATTCCGAGGTGGAAGTGGGAGGAGGTCACGATGGATTTCGTTACGGGATTACCGAGGTCGTCTGAACATCA